ATCCAATTTTTAACAATCTGTTTATTTCATTGTCTATTTTTATTTGTTCTTCTTCCGTACAACGATAAGGGCGACATGTGATTGGTGTTTCATTTGTAAGAATAATTTTTGCCATTTCTCCTTGAATACAGCCGATATCATTTTTGTTTACTGCAAAAATATGATGATATTTTTCAATTAAATTATTATTTATTAATTTTTTTTCTTTAATGTTCTTTTGATAAATTTTAATTTCATTAGTATTGGTATCTGCTTCCATTATTAAGTTGAATTCTATTATTATTTTCCTTCCAAGCAATATCATATTTTTAGGATGGTCTGTAACGAATAGTTTAATTTTTTTTCTGATATTTCCAATTTTTATTGTTGTTTCGCAAATTTGATCTACTGAAACCCCCGATCCAATTGTTTGTACTTTCTCTATTTTTATTTTCTGTAGTTTGAGTCCCATGGAATTACAGATGTCTCTAGTAATTATGTTGATATTAGCTCCTGTATCTAATATGCAGAAAACTTTTTGTCCTTCAATTTCCGTTAATATCTTCAATGGGGGAGTTAGTTTTTCATTTTCCAACATGGTCATCAGAGCCTCTTTTTCCATTATATTATTCCATGATTGTTCAGTATTTATTTCCGTATAATTTTCCTCTGATTTACTTTCGATTGGTAATTTCATCATAAAATTTTGCATTTCTTCTTCCTCAGTTTGTTCTTTCTTCTTATCATTATTTTGTTTTGTTTCTTTATATTCTATAGGAAGAATATTGTTTTGTCCATAATAAATCGTTGGTGTTATCATTTTCCTCTGTCGTTCATAGCCAATTCTTTGTTGTTGTTGCATTTGATTGTTTTGCGATTGATTAAATCGTTGATTTTGTTGCATTTGATTGTTTTGTGATTGACTAAATTGTTGATTTTGTTGTAAACAGAACATTCTGTTATGTTTGCCATTGCATAATCCACAAATTTGTTCCATCTTGCAAAATCTACTTGGATGTCCCACGTCGAAACAGTTCCAGCATAAACGTTTTGCGATAACTATATTACGTTTTTCTTCCAATGATAATCTTGATCTACATTCTTTGGTATCATGTGTTCTATTGTTACAAAAATGACAGAATTTCCATTTTCTTTGATAATTATTGTTTCTTTGATCATTTATGTTTCTTTTATTTGGAACATATTCATTTCGATTTTCCGTTTTTATCCCAGGTGGGTCATAATACATCGGTACCCGTTTTTGCGCTAGTTTTAAATCTTTTTCCAAAAACTGAAACAATTCTTCCATTGACAATCCATCGACATCTCCCAACGATCTCAAAGCTGAAGACGCCAACAGGTTAAGCCCACGTATATATGAAGAAAACAACGAGGTTAGGTTGATGACTAAGATATTTATTTTG